AATATGATGGCCCACCTATCTTCGACGTGTACCCCGAGGATGAAATCATGGACGACGAAGTAGTCGAAGCGGAGATCAAGGAAACTGAGGTCGAAGGCGAGGTGCCCGAGATTTGGACGATTGCGCAGCAGCACTTCAAGAAACACGAGTTGGTTAGAGCATCCGACCACGTACTAGGTAAGCCCGACAAAGAAAAAGGACAGATCGACGAAAAGTGTAAGGAGCATATCTTTCCGCTTGAATTCTCGAAATATTTTAAGAACTCAACGGCCATGAAGTACAAGTGCGAGTCAACGGACTATGAAGGACCACCTATTTTCGATGTATACCCTGATGAAAACTTTGTTGAGGACGAAAGAGTTTTGGGCGAGTCCAAGGAAGCCGAAGTGATTGGAGTAAAGGAGGAGATTTGGCTTGAGAATGAAGAAGGTGTGCTAGTGGTTTCAGTGGTTAAGGAAGAAATTGCGCACGTAGTGTACGAGGTGAGGACGCCCCAATTAATGGTCGATGATGAGTCCTTGTGGAAAAGGACATTCTTAAAGGGGGCGGGAATGATGCGGAAGTGGGTTTTGAGCCCCGAAGATGAGAAGGTCCGAAGGCCGATACTATCCGAGAAGGCCACGCAAAGGGCCGGAATGAGGCTTGCATGGCCTAGGAAACGTGCACGAGCCCGTATACGAGGGTGTCGACATGCACAATGGTATAAGTGGTCGAGCAAGAGGCTCGGGAGATCAAGGCTTGAAGGGTCGAGCGCATGGATGTGCGCAAGGGCACGCGAGAAGGTAGTCCATCGGTGTACAACATTAGGGCAATGGAGGAAAGACTATGCGGAATGGGTCGGGGCCGAATGTACAATAGCGGGCTCGGGTAACGCGGTCGACTGGTGCAAGGCTTGCGCGAGGGAGCGACGCGCACGACGCTTGGAGGCTAAGGCCTTGGGTGTTTACATTACGGAAGAGATAAACTGTAACACCCCGCCTTATCGTGAAATCAGAGTGCGTAATTTCGCAAGTCTTTTAAAAATAATAACTTTTTAATTTGCGAAAACTGATTCGGGGTGCTACCGTAAACGTGACTTATTCTGAGAAACTGTTATTTTAATCTTTAACAAAATCTACGGTTTACTGATAGTATTGATTTATCTGAAAGTCTTATCAAAAGATAAGTTCGTCAAAACATCAAAATCAGCAGAAACGTAGCATCATCAAAATATATATACAGTCATAAGCATAAAAGTCTTGAATCGTCCGTCATCTCACACCTCCGGCCCGACATCCTGACCTGAAAAACATGATAAAAGTGGGTCGTGAGCACTATAACACTGTGCTCCGTGGAAACTCATACTAAAGTAATAGTGAATATAATAACAATATCATGATCCTGGTATATATATTCATAACCTGAACATGAAACCAGTAATAACATGAACATGAACCTGATATCATCACGTGAACGTGAACCATGACCGTTACCTCATCTTCCAGCATAAAAATTCCGGACACCATGTGCACACTCTAGTGGGCAGACTTAGGCCACTAGAACCCAGAATGGACCGGCGACCATTCCGAGCGGATACATGACATGAAATACATACCTCAAACATGGTACCGTAATTATAATCAATGTAGTACTTAGTCTGAGTCCCCACCTGAACTGCTGAATATGCAGGTAGTGCTGATGCTCGTGTCCTGATCAAACTGAAATATAATATAAACAATTACTAATGACTATGCTCAGACTGATAAATTAACTGATTAATTATGTTAAGATGCTCTACTGAACGTGACATGATATTTAGACTTAACCGGTATAACCGGAACTGATCTGACATGAACTGAGCGGACATGACTTTACTGAACTGAACTGGACCAGGAATTTTAACTAGAGATGATACTGAAATCATGAACCGGGACTGAATAATAAAAAACGGACTGAACCGGTCCAGCCGGTCTGAACCGGTCTGGATCGAACTGCCGGTCGGCTGAACCGGGCAGTCGGGTGCTGGCTCGGCCAGCAGGCCTGCCGAGGCTGCGCACACGGGTGCTGCCTGGCGGCTGCGG